TTTTAATGCCTCAAATTGAATGAGGAATTAAATTGGTAAATTATTCAATTTGAGTAACGATAAAAGGAAGGACACCAAAATCTACATTACCCCCATTTTCTCTAATTTCTTAGGAAACAATTAGGTACATATATTTTTACATATTTATTCTGATATAACACATACATTTTATTTTCTTAAAGTTCGGATGTTTGCCATACATCAAGTCATGAATCTCACTCTTTAATTTAAATTCACGATCATTATCCAAAGCTTCTTGAAACTCCTTAAGTTTAAAAATATATTACATATTTATGGCTAAATTAATATTTTTGTTAGTAATAATTTCTTCAAAACTCATTAAATTATTTGATAAAAAATACCTCGAAGCTTTTATAGTTCCTACGATTTCCATCTTAATTTTTTAATTCACTTTTATGTATTTAATATTTTTATGTATATTTTAAATTTTATAGGAGTCCTTTGAGAATAAAAGTTATTAAAGGATAATTTACGAATATTGTTTAGAAACAGCCCAGTATTTACATGAATTAAAATTTTAATAAAAATTTACATTTTGTAAGCCCGTTGCGCAGTTGATCTAAAATTAAATACTTTATTTGCAATTCAAAATTTTTTCTATTAAAAAAATATTTTGTTGATAGTTTATGAATGTTAGTTTATCTTTTTACACTACTTATTGTTGTTTAAATTTTTCACATTTTAAAATTTTAGTTTATGTTAAACTCTCTAAGAAAGGTCAATTTAAGAATAAGACCTTTGAAGTCACCGCTTATTAATGCTGGTTCGGGTCAAGAAAAAATGTTGAGTCAGATATTGAAAATTTCTTCGAATCAGGTTTCAAATAGTAAAAAGTCAACCCCACCCGCCTGCAATTATTAATTTATGCAGAATATTTTAAATTTAAATTTTGAGTAGTGCGTAGAAAATTATTATTATTTAACCACCTGAAAAATCATTTCTAGGTGCTTGTTGAGGATTTCCCTTTCTATTATTTCCACCATAGCATTGAATAAAAACAATTGTGAATATCACAAGAGCAAAAATAAATTTTGACATTTTTGTTTGGTTTTTAGGAGGTTTTGAAGGTTTTTAATTGAATCGAAATTCTGAATGTTTCCCTCCATTTTCGATTCAGCTTTTATATTAATTGAATTCAGCAACACGATACCTGTAGAGTGTGGGGGTGTTAAATGCCTCGGGATTTTTTGGCAGTTTTTTGTAGTTTCATTCAAAAATGTATTTTCATTGTTTAATGAAAGAATTTTCAATGTGCAGTCTATGCTTTATTCTTTTTTTGCAAAAATTTTTATCTTTGCTAAGAAAAACAGAGAATTTAATGATTGATAGTAGAAATTCTAACGTTCTTGTCCAATTTTGAATTTAATTTTCCAGTGTCTTTTAAACGCAATTATTACTTAAATCGTTTAAAATTGTATGCTCCTGTCTATTTTGTAATATTTTTTTACTTCCTTTAATTTTTAAATTTTTTAAGAAATTGAAAATAATAATAATAAAAATTCAAGAGAGCGATTTAATTTTTAAACTCATCAAAAACTTTTATAACTTTTAGGTTAAAAATTTTATTTTTAAGTTAGTTCTTATGTGAATTTTATTGAGAATATTAAATATTTAAGATTTAAAATATAATTGAATAAAAAGATAATTTTTATAAAAAATATGTATATGATGTTTCAGGCGAATAAATTAGTTTTTGTTTAATTTTTATCGCACAAATTAACCAAAGAATTTGGTCGAACCGACAACCTTACTCAAAATTAATTATAAAAAGAAGTCCGCAAAAAAGGATTAATACATATCATCATTCCTTAATTGTAGCATTGTGATTCTTATAATGAATTGACCTATTTTAATTTATTATTTCAATTAACTCTATTATTTAACTTATTATAAATTTTTTTAATTAAAATGGGAGCTAAAAATATTTCTTGGACTTGATTTTATCATTTTGATAAAATGATAAAAGCGTCCTCTAGGGGTTTGATCTTGTGGGATGGACCCCTAATAAAATTAAAAGGAGTGAAATGATAAAAGGAGTGAAATCATCACAAGAAGAATTAAATTTTAAACACAAACATGGACACCATTAACATCAACACAATGAAATCAGAATTTAATAAAAACAATACTTCTATAAAAAAAAATCAGAATTGTTCCAAACCATAATGAAGACAACAAATATAGGTAATTTAAAATCAGAATAACATTAAAACAAAGTTGGAATATAATCAGAATTTATTAAAACAAAATCAAAATTTTGATAAAACATATTAGAAACATCGCTGTATAATAAATAAAAGACAAATGTTTTGTATAAACAATAAACAATGTTTTGTTTCTCGTAAAATAAAAAAAACATGTTTTTCCTTAAAGTTGTATGTTTTTAAGAAATGTTTTTAAACTTTGATTTGGTTTTTAAACATATTTTTTTAATGTTTTGTAATGTGTTCCGATGTTTTGTATAAATGTTTTGATGTTTTGTAAAATGTTCCGATGTTTTGATGTTTTGTAATGTTTTCTGATGTTTTGTAAAAATATTTTGATGTTTTGTAAAAATTGTTTTTGTCTTTCAAACGTTTTACAACTTCGTATTCATTAAAAATGCAGTTTTATTTCTCCTCATTTTTGACAAATTATCAATTAAAACCCTCAAAAGAGGTTTTTAACAAAAGAGGTTTTCTACTTATCTCAATTTTTTGGTCCAAAAATTATTAAGTAATTTTAAGAACGTTTGTCATTGCCAAATTTTCCTTATCTATCTGACGAAAAAAAAATTACTCTTTTATATAAACACATTGTTGAAATGTCATTTTCCAGTTTCCCCCCAATTTTTCAGTTGAATCAAAAATTTGTCATGTTTATTTTTTTCCCTTTATTTGTTTTTTATTTGGTTATTTCGTGTTTTCCGTCTGCTACTTCTAGTACTGCTTCTCCTAAAATTCCAAACAATAATGACTTTCAACAAAACATTAATTCAATTAAAAGACCTCTTAAAATACTCGTACATTCCCCTTCAATATGTTGGAGTCATGCTCAATATTTGGGAAGAATTGCGGATACGTTGGTTGAAGCGGGGCATGAAGTGGTTGGTTTTTAGAAATTTATCAGATGTTTTAACAAATTTAATTCTGTATTTTGAAATGTTTTTGTGTTTATTAGTAGGGGAAGAATAAGTTTACAAAACAATCATAAAACCTTTTAAATGAACATGTTCATAATTACAATTTGTAAAACTTGTTTTGATTAAAAAATATTGTAAAACAAATTTTGTTTAGAAAATTTACAAATTGTAAAAATTGTTTTGTTGTATGTTGGAAATAATAAAACTTGTTTTGATAAATTGTAAAAGAAAATAAAGTTGGAAACAAACAAAATACTAAACTTGAAACACAAGCAAAATACAAAAATATTCTTCAAATTCTGAATGTTTGGAAACATCTAATAAAATGCAACATTTGCAAACATTTTTAAAACTTGATTTTATAAAAACTATTAAAACATGTTTTGACAACTATTGTAAAACTTGTTTTATTGTAAGTTTGAAAATATCAGAACATGTTTTGATTAAATATAAATGAGATGTGTTTGTGTTTGGAAATGTGTTTGGAAACAATTAATGAAAAACATTTTCAAATTTTAAAAAATGTTTTAAATAATATGATAAGTTTTAACTTGTAAAACATGTTTTGTCATACGATTGAGTATGTGTAAAGTACTATTATTAAATTAACTTTTTAAATGATTTTAATATTGAAATTTTTTCTGAATTTTAATTTAATTAAAATTAATTTTTCGGCACTTTCTTAAATTCATTATGGACCCTATTTTAAACTTAGAAAATGAAACTACTCGAGTAAAACATATTCATGTTATCCAAGCAAATCCTGAAAGTGTTGAATTTTTGGACATCAAAAATATCAAACTAGTAACAGAAGCATTCCATAGCGATAGACCGTTGATAAATTATTTTAATCATCCAATGACCCATTTTGGACCAATAATGGCTACTTCTTGTAAAGGCAAACATTTAAAATATTTATATTTTGTATTTTGTCTGTATGTTGTTTAAATGTCCTTATGTTTTTGTGAATAAGTTTTGTTTTTGTTTGTTCTATGTTTGTTTTTGTGTTTTGTTTTAATTCAAGTTTATTTATTGTATTTTATTTGTTTGTTTAAAAAAGTTTAATTTTGTATTTTTTTCTTTTAAGTTTTATGTTTCTAAGTTTATTTTTTTGTCTATTTCAAGTTTTTGTTTGAATCCAAGTTTATTTATTTGTTGTGACTTTTGTGTTTTATGTGTTTTTGTATTTTCTTTTTAATGTTTAATTGTATGTTTTGTTTTTGTATTTTCTCAACATGTTTTTGTATTTTACTCTGCTTGTTTTTGTATTTTACTCTGCTTGTTTTTGTATCTTATGTTTTTCGAAGGTTTATTTGTTTCATTTTATAGAAACAATACAACAACATAAACTTTTACAACAATTAACCAAAGAAAAGTTTGATGTTGGAATAGCAGAAATGTATGAGTATTGCTCTGCTGCACTTTTTCATAAACTAGGCGTAAAAACAAGGTTGGCAGCATTTGCAATCCCCTTTTTGCAGATAGTTGGTAGAAAATTTGACATTCCTAGTTTTGCTAGTTTCGTGCCAAGTAATTTTATTTAAAAAATTTTTATTTTTTAATAAATTATTAGACTCTTTCGCCTCACATTTGGGCCTACAATCTTCTTTCTACTACAGATTTTTTAATTTTTACAACGAATTTTATGACTGGATTTGGATGGATAATTATATTCTGAGAGAAGAGGTCTAGAAAAAAATTTTTTTAATCAAAGTATTTTGTGAAAATATTGTGTGTTTTCCGGAGATGCCTGTGGATCGAGATAGGTCCCCAAAAATGGAAAAACCATAGGGGGGGGGTGTTTCAAAAAATTCTAGGAAATTTTCCCAAAAATCTTTTTTTTAATTTTTAGGAACCAATGATTCGTCAAGAATTTGGCTCAGACTTTCCAAATTTAAAAGATTTATTAAGAAAAGTTTCTCTTGTCTTTGTCAACTCAAACCCCTTCTTTGAGATGCCTAGACCAACCTCCAACAAAGTTGTTTATATTGGTGGATTGGTGGATAATTTGGCAACTGAGGCTAATAAAAAACTGGAACCAGTAAATTGACATTTGGATTAAACAAAAAAAAAATTTTAAAGAAAATTAAAAAATTATTGGACGAAGCAGTTGAAGGCGCAGTCCTTTTCTCGTTTGGATCAATTGCTGACACAACCAAATTAAATTTAAAAATTATAGAGGGAATTGTAAATGCTTTTAGACGGTTCCCTAATATTCAATTTATTTGGAAATTGGATTCTGAAACAATAAAAAATATGTCTGAGTTAATTAGCCCAGTATCCAATATTCATACTTTTGAGTGGCTTAGACAACCAGCTATTTTAGGTGCGAAATTAAATATGTCCTAAACTTGAGTTTGTGTTGTTAATTGTAATTCAAGTTTATTTTTTTCGCAAACTTAAGTTTATTTTTTATTTTTGAATTGTAATGCAAAAAGTTTTAAAGAAAATGTTGCAAGTTTTATTTTGTGTTTTACATTTTGATTTCAATTCAAGTTTATTTTTGTAATTGTACCTATTTCAAGTTTATATTTGCAATTGTAATTCAAGTTTATTTTTGTTAATTGCAATTCAAGTTTATTTTTGTAATTGTAATTAAGGTTTATTTAGTTTAGTTGTTGTAATTCAGGTTTATTTTCATGATTGTATTTCAAGTTTATATTTGCACTTTCAATTTAGGTCTATATTTGTAATTGTAATTTAAGTTGATATTACTAATTGTAACATTATTAATGTAAAACTTTTTCTCTAGTCCATCCCAACTTGAAAGCATTTATTACTCATTGCGGACAAAACAGTCTAACCGAATCAGTGTATGCTGGTATTCCTATTATTGGTATTCCCCTTTTTGGGGATCAATTTTACAATGCTGATGTTGCCGTTTCACATGGTATAGGGCTACAGATAGATGTTAATGAATTGAATGGACCGAATGCCGAAAATATTTTATTTGAGGCTATAGAAAGGGTAAAAATTGAAATTTTAATAGTGGAATTTCTTTATAATGTACACCCAACATTAGAAACACCTATGGCGATAAATCAATTTCAGACTACAATTCCGGTATGAAACCAGGGGCGACATTTCTGAGTTGTCCGCAATTGTCTCAATTAGCAATTGTTGTATCTTTAACTTTCTAATAACCCTCTAATTTTTATGGATTTGAAGCCTCTGGGGTCAATCTCAAGGGTGTGACTGAACTTTTAAAAATCATTAAAAAAATAAATTTTCTTTTAATTTTCTTTTCAAGGTCCTCAAAGTCCCCTCATTTCGCCAGAATGCCCAAATATTATCCAAAAAATTAAAATTGACTCCATTCAAACCAAAAGATAGGTTAGTAAAATGGGTTGAATTTGCAGCAGAATTTGACGATTTATCAGAACTTGATTTGCCTGGAGACAGGGAATTAAATTGGTTTATTTATTATTCTGTGGATGTTATAACATTTTCAATTGGATCTTTGGCTGTTATTTTGGTGGTTGTTTGGAAATTTACAAAATGGATTTTGATTAAATTTTGGCAAATTTTGTGTCCGAGAAATATAAGAATAGAAGAAAAGAAGCTTAATTAATTAGATAGTCGGACTTCGTTTTAAAGATACCTCTTCGGGTCATGTAGCACCCTCATCCAGGGGCTGTCCCAGCACACATGAAGTCAACCCTAGGTTTGAAAAAAATGCAATTAAAAGTGAGGTCCGACTATGTTTAATTTTAAACTTTGTATTAAATAAAAGATTAAACTTTTTCTGATTAAATTTTAAAAATTAAAGTAACGCAAAATCAAATAAATTTGCTAATTAATATTTTTGAAATTTCTAAAAAGCACGGCACCTTCCATTTTGAAGCTTTTTGTTTACTTTTATGTCTATTTAAAAGCTCTACTTTTATCTAGAAATATTCAAAGTTTTAGAATTTTCTGTTATCATTAAGAAAAATTATGGATAAAAAACCAGCGTCAACTCCTACAATTCTACAGTAGGAATATTCAAATAATTAATTTTAATTTAATTGGCGTTGTGTTTGAAAGCAAACAAAGTTAGAGAAAAAATTAAAATGAGCGGAACTTTGTTTGTTTGTTTTCCTGATTTTTATTTTTCATGTCCTTAGATATACGATCCTGATCTCCTTGATCCTCTGATCTCCTTTAATAACTCATAATCGACCGATATCCCACCTCAATTTTCCGATATATTCAAATCCTCCAGATCTCCAAACCACTGATATCACTTTTAATCACCAGGCATCTCTTCAGCCCTTCTTATCCTTCTAAATCCATCGATATGATGAATTTATTGTTGAATTATAATTTTTATAAAGAAGGATGAGCATAATTAATTTTTTTTATTGTTTTGAATTATGAATTGTTTTTAAAAAATTTAAATATAAACGGTAAACAGACATTTAAACGTGGTCTTCAAAAATAAATGAAACGTTATGCGAATCTCAGATAAACGCCATAAACGGTTTTTTTCAAATTAAACGGTTTTGTCCCACCCTAATTTAAACCAAAACTTAAAAATATGTACTTTTGGAAAGATAAATTGCTCAAATCCTATTTCCAACTCCTGGATTCGAACCCAGCCCCAAAAATCACCAGAGTGAGCAAAGTCAGTCAACTTAACCGATCCACTATCGACCATCGAAATGAAAGTTGGAATAAATTATCTATATTTCTTAGCCTTTTCTTTTAAAAACTACCACTACGCAACCTGCCGCCGTCGAAAATTTTCAATATTTTGCATTAAGGATTAAAGGAAATATTTAGGAATTTTTGGGATTAAGAGTGACATCGGGCGGATTTCCGTTACAACTTATACATAGAATTAAACAAAGAAAATTTTTATTGAATTTTATAAAATTTACTTCCTCGTTAATATGCTTCCTCTTTATTATTTTTTCTCCCCATCACTCGACATACTAGCAGCTTGCGCTCCCATTTAAAAATTTTTTATCCAATTAAATAAAATGTTAATAAATTAAAATAATTTTATAAATTTTTTATATTAAATTAGTAAATAAAAACAAAATAAAATATTAAAATTATCTACAGTAAATTATTTCCGATAATTAAATTTTCGGCTATACTTTTCTCTCAAAAAAGAATGCCTTTACACTATAACTTTGAATAAATTTGTTTTTAAAATTTACTAATAGTTACCGAAAATCGGGAATTTTTTCTTCAGTTTTAGCGTCGGTTCTTTTCAGTAAACCTCATATTATAGGATACGTAATGAAATTTTTAAAATTAAATTTACTTCCCTTACTAATTCTGATATTGTCACAAACCCCAGGTAAATTTATTTTTTAAATTTGCTATTTATAATTAATTTCAAGAAATATTTGCCGTAGGCAAACATTGGAAAAAATTAGGTGAATTATTTTTTTCAAAATTCTGTCAATGTGGAGAATATAAACTTAGCGAATTAAAAGAATCTATGACAATAAATCAAGAAAATTCAAAAGTTGTTCACCTGAAATATAAAATGGATTCAAAATCGAAAATTGGAGTTGGGGCATTTGGAAATGTATGGCTAAAATTAAAAAAAAATTTTAATAAAATACATAATATCAAAATTTCACTTTATTTTCTCATTAGTTAAAAGTCAATTGATCAGTACTTCGAAGCTCGTACCAAAATTCGTACTCGTACCTGGTACGAGGTACGAGGCCAAAAAAGTGAAAAGTACGAGTTACGAGGCCTAAGTACGAGCTCGTACTTCTCGTACTTGGTGTTAATAGGAAAATTGAAAGTAATTAAATATGTATTTAATTACTTTCAACGACATTATATGAGCGAGTGGCCGAGTGGTGATGGTGCTTGGCTGCACCAAAGTCTGCTAATTTAGTAATAAAGTTAATTCAGGGTTCGGATTCGTACTTATTTTGGAAGTACAGTACTTACAAATCGACCTTCGTACTTCCAAAATTAAAAATGTACTTATTTGTAAGTACGTACTTACAAATAGACTTTTTGGTTAAAAAATTAAATTTAACATTAAAAATTCCAAAATTTTCGCCTGCGGCGCCAAAAATGGAAGATATCTGGCTTAAGGACCCCCAAAATTCTCAAAATTTTCGCCTGCGGCGCAAAAAATGGAAGATATCTGGCTCCTAACCCCTTAAAATCGTCAAAATTTTCGCCTGCGGCGCAAAAAATGGAAGACTTTTTAGCAGCTTCGGCACTAAAAAAGGTTTTTGAAAAATTTTTTTGTAGCGTACTTACATTTTGAAAATTTTTCCCCCTGTGTACTTCCAATTTGAACTTTTTGTACTTACACTTGACATTTTCTCGATCCGAACCCTGAGTTAATTTAATTTAAAAGATATATCACGCATATTTGAAAGAAAATAAACAATGTGCTGCGTTGAAAGTTATTAAAAATGGAAAGAATTTTATGGAGGCAGATAATGAAATTAGTGTTCTTCAATATTTTTCTACACTACCAGAAGAAGAAAGGACTTCTATTATTAAAATGATTGGATTGTAAGTCCAGTCGAATCAAATCACCCGTGCCAAAACACTTTCTTACTTAACAAGGGTTGGGGGCCGGTTCGTGGTACTATTGACTTATAGGGGACTTTTTTTGGCTGGACCGATTTCGACAAATGATATGTCATTCGAAAGAGCTCGTCGAGCTGAGTCGAATGAGGGGTGAATGGTGTCGATCCGACAATCAGGGACCGAGTTACAGACCCCTGAAATTTAAAAAAGAGTAGGGGGGAGTAAGCTCATTTTGGTCAAAAAATTCAAAAATGTAAATTATAGCTCATTCGAAAGAACTCCTCGAACTGAGTCGAATGACACCAAAATCAACGAAATCTGACTTGATTGGACAAAGTTATGATCTTTTCTTTTAGCGCCTTACCTATGGCATCTGTGGAGATTTTTGCAGCTAAGGAGGCCCCAAATACGTCCAGAGCAAGGGATTTAGGAATAGGTTTATGTTACGAGCCCAGACCCAGCGCCCGTAGACTCCCCGCGAGGCGCGTGCCGCAAAACTCCGCGCGAAGCGCGGAGTTTTGCACAAGCGCCTCGCCGACGCCCCATAGGTTTACGTTGTTTGTTTTTTGTGTCATAACTTTGTCCAAACTTGTTCAATCGAGCTGATTTTGGTGTCATTCGACTCAGTTCGAGGAGTTCTTTCGAATGAGCTATAATTTACATTTTTGAATTTTTTGACCAAAATGAGCTTACTCCCCCCTTCTCTTTTTTAAACGTCAGGGGTCTGTAACTCGGTCCCTGATTGTCGGATCGACACCATTCACCCCTCATTCGACTCAGCTCGACGAGCTCTTTCGAATGACATATCATTTGTCGAAATCGGTCCAGCCAAAAAAAGTCCCCTATAAGTCAAGATTTCCCGGTTCGTTCCGAAAGAATCAGTCGAGCATTAAACTTTAAGGCCGGAAGAAATGACATGAACGTCGGCCCGGTCCAAAAACCTTAACTCTATTTTTAACAGTGCTTACTTTTTAAGTACCAAAGGAAATATGGAAACAAATACTCCAGCGAATATTGTTTTGGAACTTGGAGGAATGAATTTATTAGCTTACTTTCAACAGAAAATAGGAGCAAATTATAGCTATCAAGAGAGCATACATGAAGGAATTATAAAAAATATACTCAAATGTGCTGCAGTAGCAATTCAACAATTTCATAAACGTGGGTATTTTATCAAAACTTTATAGAGATTTTATAGCAAATTTTATGGGCCTTCAGCTAGGTTCAAAAAAAATTTTTAGATATTCTTTGAGTGGGAAAAGTTTAAGTCATTATTTTAAAACTTTGTGAGGGTTGAGGTTTTTTAAGTCATTAATTTTAAAACAATATATTAGTTACTTAAAAATTTAGATGGTATTCATCTAGATATTAAGCCAAACAATTTTGTTATCCCCCATGGACATAATTTAAATGCTCCTTTGAAATTCTGCAAGTTGATAGACTTTAATTGTTCCATTTTAACAAAGGAAGGTAAAGCCGAAAAATCAGGAAAATTTGGTATAATACCATATATACCTCTTGAATTTACTAATAAAAATGGTGTATTTGAAGTAAGTAAATATTTTTATTAAATTTTTATATGTATAATTGTTATTTCACAAGGAAAAGCGGGACTGTTCCCCAATAATAATAATAAATACACGATCCAATCCATAACTTCAATTAACAATAACATCCTATTTACATAGGTGTAATAGTAAATTTACGGGAAAATATCAACTACATAGATAGGTAGTTGGACAGGATAAAATATAAGCTTTTAATGTATACAACTGAGTGAATGTAGGATTGGAAAAAGGATTTATTTGGGTTGTAGGTGGAAAATGTTATAAATATGGATATTAGCGTTTGCCGGAACCACAAATTCGGCTGGAAACGAAACCGGAACTTCGGGCGAAACACTAATGGATATGCTTTACATACAATACTTTACAAATTTTTTAAAAATTAAAAAGTTATATGTAAGATAAATATGTATTTTAGGTTTCTCGTGAAATTGATATTTATTCATTCGGTGTAATGATTTATAAGTTTATGTTTAGCCCTCATATGATAATGGTTAATATAGATTTGAAAAAATTTGGCCATGGAAGTTTAGATAGGATTGCAAAGGTACTTTTATTTTAGTTATTTGTGTGGTTTATTAATATGTAAAGACGATTGTACGAATCAAAAATAAATTTTAACTTATTTTAATAAATTTTGAAAAATTTTAGTCTGAAATGAAGAATAGTAGGAAGAAATTATAGTTTTGCTGTGTAATAATTAGAAGTCGGCGCGGGACGGGATCCCGAAATCCCGGATTTTTTTTTTGATTTTTGGGATCATTCGGGATCAGGGATTTTTTCGGGATTTATCCCTCGGGATCCCGTCCCGGCCTCGGTTAAGAAAAAAATCCCGACTCGGGATCTCGGAAGTGCGATTTTGCCGACCTCTACTAGTAATAATTAATAGTTTAATACTATCAATTCCGACTAAAAAATGGGGAATTATTTAGAAAATATTCCTAATTTCTCAAAATATACACGTTCCAATCTATCAAATTTTTTGATAAAAAATAATATTTTGGTATTTTAAAATTATAAATTAAAGGCTTGCTTGCAAAATAAACCAGAAAATCGCCCTAGTATAGAAGCCATTATTAGCTTCCTAGAAGAAAAATGCCATTACTTTAGTTATGAGGATAAAGAGAAATATACGAAAGATCAAAAATTGTGTTAAGATTAAAAAAGAAAAATTTTTATGAAAGATAGAAATTAACGATATTTTTATTTTTAAATATTTATCAAATTTAAATCTAGCTGAGTAGATAAATTTTATGCACGATTAGATAAATTTCAAAGCTATTCTTTAAAAGGTTTCATTATAATATGGGTTTTCTTGTATAATAAATTTCATAACGTTTAATATCTTGATTTTTAAATCAAGAAGATAATAAAAGACTAGGCAAAACTTCCTTATTCTAATTTCGAAACCGAAACTTTCGGTTGGACGCTTAAATAAAACATCTAACTTCTAAGAAGCATTTAGATAAATTTAGAGGAGATATGCAGATATTTCCCAGTTAAAGCCTGCAATACATCGGTTATCTCTCAATATCTATCTAGGCCTCCATATCCATTCTTATTTTTTACACAAGTTCTTGTCCGCAAATTTTGTTCCAATTAAAGGTGACCCATTTGTCCGCTAATTGTCAAGAAATATTAATCATATAATAATAGGAAGATTAATTCTTTTTACAATTATTTTAGTAAACGCCTAGGGACAAATTCTAAGAGCTTAGACCTAATAGCTTAGTTCCAACAAAAACTTCCAATCAAATTAAATATATTTACTTTCCAAATTAAACCAAAGAGAGCCAGTCAAAAAAACCAAAAGGAACGGAACACAATCGAACGAACAAAAAGGCACCCCGAATGTTAAGTTAAAAGAGTTTAAATAGGCCAGAAAAATATGTGTGAATTTAGAAAAGATAAAAACAAATGCACGTGCGGTATATGGCAGATTAGAAAATAAATTAGGTAGGTACATTATCAAATGAAAAAAGTTGTTTACGATTAATTAATCAAAAAAGCGGCTAATTGGCTAAGTTGAATTCCTAAACGAACAGATGCGCGGTAAAAATAATAAAGATTTGAATTTTTAAAGAGAACTAACTAATTTTAGAAAAAGGAAAAATGCATTTGCCGAACACTATTTGTAACGTTTTTCTACGTTTAATAATTTTTGAATTACGATTACCTCTATTTAACATGGGTGAGGGGCTACTCGGAAAACCCCTAAATACGAAAATGACAAGTCACTGTCTTAAAAATCACGGAATGACTAAAACGATTCATTCGATTCAGCCTAACCATTTCACTTTTATATTTACGAGTTTCTGTCTCATTATCAACAAAATCCCCTCAGTTAAAAAACTGATTGAAAGAAAATAATTAAAAAAGAAAAAAAGCATGGAATTTTATTTATTTAAAAAATTGTTTAAGAAGCAAATTAATTAACTTATTATAGAAAGGCGGTTAAGTTTAGGACCAAATTAAAAAATAATTATTAAAAAAATGAGAATCCAATATAAGAATTTAAAATCCAATATAAGAAAAATAACAACAACAAAAAAACTTCTTCTCATCCAATCAACAAGAATACTCAATAAAGAACCAACCAAACACCCAAACTCTTATTTACTAAAAAATTGAATGTTGTAAAAGAAATGTAAAATACTAAAAATATTAGTATTTCATTTCCCCTTCCATCAGTGATGGGCAAAGTTCCAGTTCCTGAACTAATTAGTTCCAGAACTAGAACTACGGAACTAACGATTATCTGGCACTAGTTTGGAACTCGAACTACGGATCTAGTTCCAGAACTGGAACTTGAACTACTAAAATTAAAAACCTAGTTCTTGAACTGGAACTAGTCCCAGAGAAATTTTGGAACTTTCCTATCACTGTCCTCCACACACTTTTTTCTCTCAAAAAATATAAAAAATGGTCAGACCAAAAATGTGTTTAGCTCTTCGAGCTGAATCGAATACACATAAAAACTTTGTTATATTTATGGGTAGCAAAGGTGGGTCGGAATTCCGATTTTCGAAATTTTGGAAAAATTTCGGATTTCCGACAGTTCCAATTTCCGACACCTCTGTTTGATGCGACCCACCTCTGATGGGAAAACATTTTTTAAATACATTTTTTAATATTTTGGAGAAAGGAGCAAGGAGCAAAGTTCAACTTTACCTGAAAGGCAAAATTTTAAACTTACTGAAGAGTCTCTTTCCCTTTAGAAAGACAGTCATTCTTATGCTTATCAACTGAAAAAAATTAATTTTTAATTTATTTTAAAGTTCTCAACCTTTTGAAACAAAAGGTTGAACAGGATTAGAATTTCCTTTTTTAATTAATGGAGGCTGCAAAAGTCCGAGAGACGTTTGAGCTCTAGCTTGAATTAAAAAAGTTTTTTTAATTTTTGAATAGACAGAGAGAGAAAATAATTTTTTTACCTTTACCACCCGACTTTTTCTTCGTTCCGTCAACATCTTGTCCACCAACAGAAGCAGATTTACCGCCCTTAGTTTTATTCCCATCGATTTGTGATGGATTAACAAATTTATCTTGAATATTTTCAAAAATTAATTTTTGAACTCTTTTACCATTTGCTCCCCCAATTTCATTTTCTTTATTTCCATTACTACTCAAACGAATTAAAGTCTAAAACAATTTCATTTTAATTTATGCATTTTTTAATAACTTTAGTGCTCAATTTGGTCCCAACTCTTCCATCTAAGACAGAGAGATTGGAAGAGGAGCCTACTTAAAAAAATTTTTTGGATTTAAAAGAACGAAAAAAATCATTCTCTACCTAAACTATTCATTCCATGTCCATTATTACTCTTATTCGAGTGAGGAGTAGGAACATGTGTAAAACCAGCTGAAGATTCAAAAGAATTTTTGAATTGTTTAAGATAGGAGGAAAAAACAATAATTCAAAGTTCCTACCATTCAAGATCGAATTCTGTGGAGTTCTGGAAGAAGATCCACAAACAAAACATCCACTTCCCATAACCAAGCATTCTCAAGAAGCATTTATTCATCAAAATCCACATCTGGTTGACTCGATCCTGACTGACGATTCTTCTCCTCATCATGAACCTTCAAAACACCCTCGATATTGATCCAAATACCTTGAATATATTTTAAAAATTTGTTAAATTAGTATAAAATGTTTTTAATAGTGACCGGTAAAATCGATTTTTCCGGAACCGGATCCGGATTTGCAACTTGAGCCGGACCGGATCCGGCCGGATTTTTCCGGATAAATCCGGTCCGGTTTTAATCCGGTAAAAATAATTTCCGGAGTCCGGCAGAAATTATCCGGATTCCGGACTCCGGTTTTTTCCGGATTTTTCAAAAAAATTTTTTTCATCAATTTTTTGTTAAAATGTTGTAATATGTGTGTCGTTTATGTGTTAAAATGTTGTTAGGGTGATATCTAAAGATTTTGGAGGCTATGAAGGATATTTTGTGGATTTTTCAAGGTTACAAGTTTGTCGTCGTGCCTTCTGGGTACGATTTTTGGAACCAATAAAGAAGAACGCTTCTTTTCAGCGCCGCAGGCGAAAATTTTTTGAATTTCAGTATGATCAGGTGTTAAAAATCCTCGTTTTTATAAAAAATACAGGAAAAAATGGGAAAATTTCATAACAGTATAAAATCCCAAATCCGGTGCTCAAAATTTGCCGGACCCGGATTCCGGATTTGCAACTAGAGCCGGACCGGATCCGGCCGGATTTTTCCGGATAAATCCGGTCCGGTTTTAATCCGGAAATTTCAAAAAAAAAACCCGGATTTGGGACCCGGACTCCGGAAAAATCCGGCCGGATCCGGTCCGGCCCCGGTCACTAGTTTTTAATGTTCGGAAAAAAATTTTTTTGTAAATTAATTTGGCATTATGTTTTAAAAAAATTTTTTACTAGTCGCAAAACCAATTGCTTTACAAAGTTCAAGAACATCAGTAACTTCGTCAACTCTACCATTAATATACGTGAATAAGTCAACCAAAATGGCTCTCTTGCTTACAAAACGAGCCTTGATCTTTAAAAATTTTGGAAAATTTTTTTTCTTAAAGGCATATTTTTACATACGTCATCTGATTTGTCTTCACGATACGACGGTTCGTCATAAGCCGGCCACTTGTACTTCTCGTTATCCATATACTTAAACAATTTTATAATACTTTTAATTTTAGTTAAACAATTTAATTACTCACTTCCTTAAGCTCTTCTTTCATACTCGGAACCGAAACATACAATGATGAGATTTGACGATATGTCGCTAAAAAATTTTTTTTATTAGAAAATGTTTTAAATTCACACCATCAAAATTGGCATTGAAAACAGTTGTCAACAGCGCCTTGCGAAAACAAGTTTCTCCACCTTTCATCTTCTTTAGAGCCCCAATAATCTCGTTAAATTGGACAAACGATTGTGCACGCAACTAGAAAAAAATTTCTTTTAATATTTTTTTGCGGACTTTTTTTTAATTTGCGGACAACATTTGCGGACAGGATAACAAATTTTTAATCAAGGCAATCAATTAACATTTTCAATTTTTATTCTTCCAATATTCTGATATAGACATACAAAACACACACAAAACACACTAACTTACTTTCCCCAAAAATATCAGCCATTTATGTTGGAATTTTAAGATTAAAAGATAAAATATTTTAGATATCCGAATATTAATCCATTTTTTATTTAACGGGATAAATTTAATTAAATCAAATAATAATTCTATAGGTAATTTTTGGACATTTTTTATTTCATTTTTCATTCAATTGATTGGGGAAAAATTGGAAACAAAAATATGCATAGACGGGATGAGGGGTAACGAATAACCCAAGGAAAGGGGTAACACCACAAACGCATTCTATCACTTCAATTGCTAAAGAGCAGAAACAGAAAAAATACATAGAAACACAAAACATAAAACAAACAAAACATTTACTAAAACAAACATTCAATTTAACACAAAAACAGTGTTTACAACAAAACAAACAAAACACATTAATCAAAACAATTTAAAATTCATAAAAACATCAAACAAAACATTTACTAATAGACTGGAAAAAACATTCAATTAAACATAAACTTTTGTTTACAACAAAACAAATAAACAAAACATGTTAAAGAAAACTTTTAAAAACACGTTAAAACACAAAACAAACAAAACATTCAGAAACACATTCCAAAACATTCTGATTAAACAAGTTTTAGTTTTGTTTTTAATCAATCTCTTTCAACAAACTTACATCAGCAAGCGATAAAAAAAATTTTTACTAGTCGCAAAACCAATTGCTTTACAAAGTTCAAGAACATCAGTAACTTCGTCAACTCTACCATTAATATACGTGAATAAGTCAACCAAAATGGCTCTCTTGCTTACAAAACGAGAAAAACGAGCTAGGGAGTAGCCCTTGGATTGTTTTGGCACTCCATTCCACGACGGGCCATTTTCTTTTGACTCTTCTTGTTTTTAAGCTAATAAATTGAACTTGTAGACCAGGGGTGTGCGAGTTTCGCCTTTCGTCTTTCGCCTTTCGCCGATTTTCGCCTTTTTTTGACTTTCGTCTTTCGCCTTTCGCCGTTCGCTTTTTCGGGCGAAAGGCGAAATTATTATACACCCCTAATGACGGCATCTGAGGAAAAGTTGTGAGAAGGAAAAATTGGGAGAGGAAAAATTAGGAGAAGAAAAGGAGGTTAAAACTGATACGAGTAGGGAATATTGTATATAATTTTCGGCTCTTGTCCAGTTTATGCGTCCCATGAAAGTATATGCGTCCCATCAACAAAAAATTGGATATTTCTTGGTGTTGCAAAGTTGGGGTATGGTTCCAAAGCATTTCTTCATGTTCGGGATCTACGTCCACTGGGTCTGGGACCGTTCCTTACCCTATACCTCGATATTTCTGAAAGTTAAAATCGTTTTTCTGAAATTTTTAAAAATTGGCTATAACTTTCAGAAATTTCGGTGGATAAGGTTTGAATGGTCCCAGACCCAGTGGACGTAGATCCCGAACATGAAGAAATGCTTTGGAACCATACCCCAACTTTGCAACACCAAGAAATATCCAATTTTTTGTTGATGGGACGCATATACTTTCATGGGACGCATAAACTGGACAAGAGCCTAATTTTCTTTTGTTTGTCTATAAGTCATGGGTGGTTGAGTGGTTAAGTTGTTTGACTTCAACTTGCGACCGTTTACTTATTGATATGTTTGATTCCAAGATTAGAGACAAGACTAATTCTTTCATAAATAAAATAGTTATCATTTTCTTAGAAAAAATTATTTTTTTAATTTAAAAATTTAATTTTCCGTGCATCTGGCTGCTAAGAAAATCTGGCTGCTAAGCCTTCCAAAATTTTCAAAATTTTTGCCTGCGGCGCTGAAAAAGGTTAGTACAGTTTATTTTCAATCACAGTATTCAGCATCCGATCCAGGGATTTCCCAGGATTCTCAGCCTCTTTTCACGACAACGAAGGGAAAAGTCTAGAGATCGGAAAATAAAAAATCAACGTCAAATTTTCTTGACATATCCTTTGACTTCCCTTTAAATCCTCGATATTTGTCCAACTCTGATATCCTTCTTAATCCTACAAATTCCCTGATATCTCCGATTAATTGATTTAAGAAAGTTATCTGTAGATTTGGAACACTTAATAAGGCTTTTAAATTACTTGACCAAAAAATCTCAGACTCATAGCGGAAATTGAAAAATTTCGCCTTTCGTCTTTCGCCGATTTTCGCTTTTTTTGGACTTTCGTCTTTCGCCTTTCGCCGTTCGCTTTTTTAAATGACTTTCGCATTTTCGCCTTTCGCTTTTTAAAATCACTTTCGGCACACCCCTGTTGTAGACCCATAAGTGTTTAAAATATTAAAAAAGAGAAAAGATAATTTATAAGTTGAAAACAGAATCGGCATTAAAAATAATTTTTTTGGAAATATTTATCAACAAAATAACGCCAACAAACTTTAAAAAAACCTGAGAGAGTTTCCACATATCTTGCCAAAGCGAAATAAATGCCAAAAAAAGGATAGAGGTTTGTTTTACCGAGTACACGCCGCAAACCCCGCGACAAGTACGGGGTCTTGCAGCACGCGTCTCGCCGAATAAGATTGGGAAGATTTGGATTTGGCAAGATATGTTGGAACTGAGAGTGGATAACAAACAAAAATTTTTATGAAAGATATCACTTTATTTTTTGGCAGATTTTGTATATATCCAAAAATGTGTGTTTTTATAGAATTTTTAGTAGTAAACAGAAAAAAAGATTCTTCCGGTTTCCTATTTTGATTTAGCCCGAGGAAATTTCGAAATTAAAAAATTGAAAAGTTTTAGAAAATGGGGAGTATTGAATTGTTTTTATGTCAAAGTGGAAAATACAAAATCCCCAAATAAAGTGAATATTACAAAAAGTACACGTATCCCACTCAAAAGTAAGTATGTTTAGTGATTGGAAAATTTGAAGATTTGCAAATTTTTTAAAAGATAGACCACGTAGAGTATATATATATAGTATCGGTATTTTTTCGGTATACCGATACCGTACCGGTCCTCGAAAAAATACCGCGGTATTTTCCGGTATTTCGGTATTTGTGAAATTCTCAAAATTTTCGCCTGCGGCGCTGAAAACGGAAGAAATCTGTCTTCTGGTCTTCCACAATTTACAAAATTTTCGCCTGCGGCGCTGAAAAAGGAAGAAATCTGCCTTCTGGTCTTCCAAAATTATCAGAATTTTTGCCTACGGCGCTGAAAAAGGATATATAGGGACACTCTATTAGAGGGGGCATTGTATTTTTCAATTATCCTTCTGGGGCATTCTATTAAAGGAGGGTATTCTAATAGTGGGGGCAAAGTAATTTTCAATCATCCTCCAGGGGACATACTATTAAAGCAGGGTATTCTAATGGAGGGGGCATTGTATTTTTCAATTAGCTAAATGTCGAGCAATTGTTGGACATTTTGCTGATTCAAATCTTGCCTATGATCGATTAGAAGAAGCTCAAGTCCTTGAGATTGTTAAGATTTATTGTTAAAATTTTAAAAATAAAATTTAAAAAATTTTATAAAGTTTTTTAAAAAATACCGAATACCGGCCGGTATACCGAAAATTTTGAGACGGTATTTTCCGGTATCGGTATTTTTCCGGTATACCGATACCGTACCGGTCAATTTTTGTAAAAAACGGTATTTTTCGGTATCGGTATTTTTTCGGTATACCGATACCGAATACCGGAAAAGGTCATTTGCCGAACACTACACAAAACACACTAACTTACTTTCCCCAAAAATATCAGCCATTTATGTTGGAATTTAAAAATTAAAAGATAAAATATTTTAGATATCCGAATATTAATCCATTTTTTATTTAACGGGATAAATTTAATTAAATCAAATAATAATTCTATAGGTAATTTTTGGACATTTTTTATTTCATTTTTCATTCAATTGATTGGGGAAAAATTGGAAACAAAAATATGCATAGACGGGATGAGGGGTAACGAATAACCCAAGGAAAGGGGTAACACCACAAACGCATTCTATCACTTCAATTGCTAAAGAGCAGAAACAGAAAAAATACATAGAAACACAAAACATAAAACAAACAAAACATTTACTAAAACAAACATTCAATTTAACACAAAAACAGTGTTTACAACAAAACAAACAAAACACATTAATCAAAACAATTTAAAATTCATAAAAACATCAAACAAAACATTTACTAATAAACTGGAAAAAACATTCAATTAAACATAAACTTTTGTTTACAACAAAACAAATAAACAAAACATGTTAACCGTTTTCTGTGTTTGGCTGTAGTGTAGTGTACCGGTGGTAAAAGTTCGGGATGCGACATATGTCATTCGATTCGTCTCGACGAGCTGAGTCGAATGGTACCACTCCCTACTTTAGGAAATGATTCTGGGCCGAGTTATAGGTCCCGAAAAATTGAAAAACCAAAGGGGGGACCAAGCACTTTTTTGGGGTAAAAAATTCGAATATGCAAATAATAGCTCATTCGAAAGAGCTCCTCGAGCTGAGTCGAATGACACAAAATCAACGAAATCCGACTTGATTGGACAAAGTTATGATCTTTTCTTTTAGCTCCTTACCTATGGCATCTGTAGAGGTTTTTGCTGCTACGGAGGCCCCAAATACGTCCAGAACAAGGGAGATAGGACTAGGTTTATGTTACGAGCCCAGACCCAACGCCCGTAGACTCCCCGCGAGGCGCGTGCCGCAAAACCCCGCGCGAAGCGCGGGGTTTTGCACAAGCGCCTCGCCGCCGCCCCATAGGTTTATGTTGCCAGTTTTTTGTGTTGTAACTTTGTCTAATCTCGTTCAAACACGGTGATTTTGGTGTCATTCGACTCAGCTCGACGAGCTCTTTCGAATGAGGTATAATTTGCATATTCGAATTTTTTACCCCAAAAAAGTGCTTGGTCCCCCCTATGGTTTTTCAATTTTTCGCGACCTATAACTCGGCCCAGAATCATTTCCTAAAGTAGGGAGTGGTACCATTCGACTCAACTCGTCGAGACGAATCGAATGACATATGTCACGTCCCGAACTTTTACCACCGGTACACTACACTATATCCCTGTGTTTTCTGGGTACAAAAAAATCTGGAAATGCAGTTTACCTCAAAATGTCCCACCCAAAAAACGGCCTGCAAATCCGGAAAAATGGTTTCCGGAAAAATAGTTTGCTGAAAAGTTTTCTTCTGAAAATGATAGGGGGTTACTTTAGTACGTGGGTCCCGGAGTTAATATACAAATGTTATACCATTCGAAAGAGCTAGTCGAGCTTAGTCGAATGCCACCAGTTTTATCCCGATGAAAAATTTTTGGACCGAGATATAGGTCCCTGAAATTTGAAAAAGCATAGGGGGGACCAAGCACTTTTTTGGGGTGAAAAATTCGAAAATGCAAATTATACCTCATTCGAAAGAGTTCCTCGAGCTGAGTCGAATGACACCAAAATCACCGTAATTGGACAAGATTTAACAAAGTTATGACACAAAAAACAAAAAACCTAAACCTATGGAGCGTCGGCAAGGCGCTTGTGCAAAACCCCGCGCTTCGCGCGGGGTTTTGCGGCACGCGCCTCGCGGGGAGTCTACGGGCGCTGGGTCTGGGCTCGTAACATAAACCTATTCCTATCTCCCTTGCACTGGACGTACTTGGAGCCTCCGTAGCAGCAAAAACCTCAACAATGACCATAGGTAAGGAGCTAAAAGAAAAGATCATAACTTTGTCCAATCAAGTCGGATTTCGTTGATTTTGGTGTCATTCGACTCAGCTCGAGGAGCTCTTTCGAATGAGGTATAATTTGCATTTTCGAATTTTTCACCCCAAAATAGTGCTTGGTCCCCCCTATGCTTTTTCAAATTTCAGGGACCTATATCTCGGTCCAAAAATTTTTCCTCGGGCTAAAACTGGTGGCATTCGACTCAGCTCGACTAGCTCTTTCGAATGGTATAACATTTGTATATTAACTCCGGGACCCACGTACTAAAGTACAGCCAATGATAGGTAATCGACCATGCGGAGTCCGACTCTGAGCTTAGAATTTGTTTTTTTCGAACCCCGGACCCGAGTTCGACCAAGTCGAATTCGGTAAAATTTCGAAATTAAAAATTTAGGGCTAAAAAGTTGTTTTCAACATCAAGGTTGTCGAAAAAACAACTTTCAGACCCCGCTTCCCGTTTCCCGGACCTGGTTTTTTCGATTTTTAATTTTAGTTCGAAAAATTGAGTATTTTTACTTTGTTGGACATTTTGAGATGGGCCGTTTTTTGGGTGGGCCATTTTGGGGGTTTCTGTACATTGGGCCGTTTTGGGGGTTTTTGTACATTGGGCCGTTTTGGGGGTGGGCCGTTTTGAGGTGGGCCGTTTTGGGGGCGCGCCGTTAAAAATCGTTTTTCTGGCATTACGTATTTATTAGGAAAAGTAGAGTCAACAAAGATGAGAGAGAGTGGATATGAGACGACAACTTTTTATAAAAGATATCACTTTATTCGGCACAATTTGTATATCCAAAAATATTTATGTAGGCTTACAAGACAGAAAATCGAAAAGTTTTGGAAAATGAGAGGATTTGATTGTTTTTAATGTCAAAATGGAAAATACAAATTTACCACAATAAAGTGAAAATTTTCGAAAGACAAATATAAATATCGCACTCATGTCAGAAATTTTAAAGTTGGATGGGCTTTTTTAAGAGATTTTAATTTAGTAGTTGTATATACGTATACGAGAGTCAACAAACAAAACATCCAAAAATCCACTTCCCATAACCAAGCATTCTCAAAAAGCATTTATTCATCAAAATCCACATCTGGTTGATTCGATCCTGACTGACGATTCTTCGGCTCATCATGAAACTTCAAAATTCGCTCAAGATTGCCCAAAATACCTTAAATATATTTTAAAAATTTGTTAAATTAGTATAAAATGTTCTTAATGTTCGAAAAAAATTTTCTTGAAAAATTTTTTTGGCATTATGTTTTAAAAAATTTTTACCAGTCGCAAAACCAATTGCTTTACAAAGTTCAAGAACATCAGTAATATCATCAACTCTACCATTAACATACGTGAATAAGTCAACTAAAATAGCTCTCTTGCTTACAAAACGAGCCCTTATCTGTAAAAATTTTGGAAAAAAATTTTTTAAGGCATAATTTTACACATACATCATTCAATTTTTCTTGATGAGCATAATGCGGCGGTTCTTCATAAGCCGGCCACTTGTACTTTTTGTTATCCATATACTTAAATAGTTTTATAAGACTAGAGAATTTTCGAAAATTTTTATATTATTATGCTCGAAACCGCTAAATCTTTATTTGAGCTTTATTGCAGAATCCGCAAATATTTTTGCGGACAATATAAACATATTTGCGGACAGGGGTGGAGTGTGAGAAAAATTTATTCACTTTACAGCAGGCTTATACAAAATTCTCTGAGCTAGCTCCCAAGCCCCATTGGTGCCCAAAATCAGTAAGCTAACAATACTGAATCTTGTTCGTCCGCAAATATATTTGTCCGCAAACATTTTTTACAAATTTTTAGTTAAACAATTTAATTACTCACTTCCTTAAGCTTTTGTTTCATACTCGGAACCGAAACAGATAAAGTCGATAACTGACTATACATTCCTAAAACATATTTTTTTAATTAAAAAATATTTTAAATTCACACCGTCGAAACTGGCATTGAAAACAGTTGTCAACAGTGCCTTGCGAAAACAAGTTTCTCCACCTTTCATCTTTTTTAAACCTTCAATAATCTCGTTGAATTGGACAAAAGATTGTGCACGCAACTAGAAAAATTTTTTTTAAATATTTTTTTGCGGGCTTTTTTTAAATTTGCGGACAGGCTAACAAATTTTTAATCAAGGCAAGCAATTAACATTTTCAATTTTTATTCTTCCAATATTCTGATATAGACATACAAAACACACACAAAACACACTAACTTACTTTCCCCAAAAATATCAACCATTTATGTTGGAATTTAAAAATTAAAAGATAAAATATTTTAGATATCCGAATATTAATCCATTTTTTATTTAACGGGATAAATTTAATTAAATCAAATAATAATTCTATAGGTAATTTTTGGACATTTTTTATTTCATTTTTCATTCAATTGATTGGGGAAAAATTGGAAACAAAAATATGCATAGACGGGATGAGGGCTAACGAATAACCCAAGGAAAGGGGTAACACCACAAAAACGCATTCTCTCACTTCAATTGCTAAAGAGCAGAAACAGAAAAAATACATAGAAACACAAAACACAAAACAAACAAAACATTTACTAAAACAAACATTCAATTTAACATAAAAACTTTGTTTACTACAAAACAAACAAAACATTAATTAAAACAATTTAAAATTCATAAAAACATCAAACAAAACATTTACTAATAGACTGGAAAAAACATTCAATTAAACATAAACTTAAAGTTTACAACAAGTAAAACAAACAAAACATGTTAATAGCAAACATGTAAAAACACGTTAAAACACAAAACATTCAGAAACATATTTCAAAAACATTCTGATGAAACAAGTTTTAATTTGTGTTTTTAATCAATTTTCTTTCAACAAACTTACATCAGCAAGCGATGCCATGTCTAGTAGTCTAATATGTAGTAAAATTTAGAAATTCAGAATGTCTAAAAATAGAGTAAATTTGAATTATTAAAATATTAAAAGAATTTTTTGAGAAAAAATTTAACTGGGAAAATAAAAACAAACACATCAATGTGAGTGTATTCAAATGATGTGGAGAAAATGAAATGACGGCACAACTTACTTATAGTTAAATAGGGAATGATTACTCACTTTCCTCCTCCTCCTTTCTTCCATAAAGTTGCCTAATTGTAAACGAAACAGAGTACATTCAAAAAAACCTTTAACTTTTAATCAATATAACCAAAAATAGTTAGAGACCTCGTTAGAACACCCGCAACAAACAAAAATGTCGGAACTTGGAAGTCTAAACTTTTATAAAATTTCAGAATTGAAATATCTTGTGCTGATGTTACAGGAAAACATTTGACCTTTTAGAATTTCTGTGAAAAGAACGAAACACTTAAACATGCCACTAAACCAGGGTTAGGATCGAAAAAATGTTAAGTGTAAGTACAAAAAGTTCAATTTGGAAGTGTTTTTAGAGTATGTTTTTGCGTGTTTTTCCGGCTGTACTTTAGTACGTGGGTCCCGGAGTTAATATACAAATGTTATACCATTCGAAAGAGCTCCTTGAGCTGAGTCGAATGACACCAGTTTTAGCCCGAGGAAAATTTTTTGGACCGAGATATACATAAGTCCCCGAAATTTGAAAAAGCATAGGGGGGACCAAGCACTTTTTTGAGGTGAAAAATTCGAAAATGCAAATGATACCTCATTCGAAAGAGCTCCTCGAGCTGAGTCGAATGACACCAAAATCAACGAAATCCGACTTGATTGGACAAAGTTATGATTTTTTATTTTAGCTCCTTACCTATGGCATATGCGGAGATTTTTGCTGCTACGGAGTCCCCAAATACGTCCAGAGCAAGGGAGATAGGAATAGGTTTATGTTACGAGCCCAGACCCAGCACCCGTAGACTCCCCGCGAGGCGCGTGCCGCAAAACTCCGCGCGAAGCGCGGGGTTTTGCACAAGCGCCTCGCCGCCGCCCCATAGGTTTATGTTGTTTGTTTTTTTGTCATAACTTCGAACAAACTTGACCAATCACGGCGATTTTGGTGTCATTCGACTCAGCTTGTCGAGCTCTTTCGAATGAGGTATAATTCTCATATTCGAATTTTTCACCCCAAAAAAGTGCTTGGTCCCCCCTATGCTTTTTCAAATTTCGGGGACCTATATCTCGGTCCAAAAATTCTTCCTCGGGCTAAAACTGGTGTCATTCGACTCAGCTCGAGGAGCTCTTTCGAATGGTATAACATTTGTATATTAACTCCGGGACCCACGTACTAAAGTGACCCCGTTTTTCCGGATAAATAATTTAAAGGAAAACATTTTCCGGAAAATGTTTTGATTGTAAAAGATGTGTTTCAGTTTTAAGGTTTCCCAGAAAACACTTTCCGGAAGATGTTTTGTGTTTCAGTTTTAATGTGTTCCGGAAATTGTTTTTATTGAACTAAGGAATGTTTTATATAATATTTTTGCGGAAAAGCTAAAAACATATAACAATTAAAAAAGTTAGTTGTTTGTTGAGTAGGAAGATGTTGTTGTTGAATTCTCGTCATTACTTAAAACAACATGGTCAAATTCTGAACAAAACATTTCTGTTGAGCTTTCAATGTTTTTCTTGTTGTTGTTGTGAGAAAATATTGTTGTTTTAGTGGTAGAAAAAGAAAAAAGTTTGTTGTTGTGTTTTCTAGGAATTGACAAACATTTTATACTTTTTAATGCGTTGTTGTTTACATGTTGTAATCGTTTTTTCCTTACAAACATTGCATAACAAAAAGGAAGGAGAGCAAACGAACTTAATTTTAACATTGTTGCCGTGCTAAAAACATCGTCCCAACCACGTAAATCGGAGAGAATAAAACCTGCCTGAAAAACAAAATGTTTTGTTTTTAGAGATGTTTTGGAACATGTTTTATTCGTTTTCCGGTTAAGTTTGAAGGGAAACATTTTCCAATAGATGTTTTTATATTGTTTTTAGTTTTGTGTTTTTGGTAAAAAAAATTGTAAATTTTTTCGAAAAATTTTGAAAATTTGTGATAAAAAATTGAATTTTTACGAAAAACACCCAAAATAGGTGACAAAAAACACAAAAGCTTCAAAATAGGTTACAACCTATTTTAGGTTTCAAAACCCCAAAATAGGTTTGAATAGGTGATAATAAGTCCGCGTAAACGTAAGATATTCAAAAAATAACAACGGATTTGAGTTCAATTCATCATAAATATTTCGTAGAAAAAATAGGTTATAACCTAAAAATCCGATCCCTAATAATAACTAATTAAAGGATAACTAATTTAAAGAAGAAACATGTTTTTATTATCCAAACAATGTTTTATAAATGTTTTTCCGGAAAACAAAAAAAATTACCTGAACACAGATAAAGTTGTATGGAGCGAGCCCAACAAGCACAGAAAATGTAAACAACGGTAAAGCAATGTTTAAAAAAGGAGCAACAATGTTGAGTACGTTGGCTGACCTAAATGAGCATTTGATTTAATCCCTTTCAGCAGCACAAAAAGTTTCTAGCGAAGATTCAGCTTCATAATTTTGTACAGAATTTTCAGATCTAACAGATTATATGTAGTACCATTCTAGCCAGCTCGAAAAGCTCTTGAACGATAATAAATTATATATTAAACAAAAAGGCTCAAAATTTTCATGGAATGATAGAAAAAGGAGACCGAAAGTTAATAGTGTCGTTTCCAGTCCCCATTTTTCCTCCCCAATTTTTTACCCTATGTTTGTACGGAATGGTCAAATTTTCCCTTTTCTGTTATCAAATTTGCCTTTCTATATTTTGCCTCAAAACAATCAAAAAGATTAATTTTTTATTCAGTTCTTTCACAAGGAGAAACACCAAGCATGAAAAATGTTTTCTGGCTATTATAGGAGGGAAAAGAAGTGCGGAAAATTTGTCTTTCCATATTTTAGGCAAAATATAGAAAGGCAAATTTGATAACAGAAATGGGAAAATTTGACCATTCCGTACAAACATAGGGTAAAAAATTGGGGAGGAAAAATGGGGACTGGAAACGACACTATTACCGACCGAAAACTTAATCGCTTTTCATGCGGGGGTTAATCTGTCAGCCGGTATTAGGTGCTAGTGTTATTCCGTAGTTGTTATTCTCAGTTAGTCTTATTTTTGTGCTCCACATATTCAGCATTAGCCGTTTTCCTATTGTTCATTACTATTGTTCCGTCATTCTTTGTTAGTACGTAGACATAGAAGTCTCCTCTAAAACGAGGCACTGGGTAACGGGACCAACCGCTTTACTAAACTAATAAAGAAACTTTTGAAGATAGTTTGTTTTCTTCTACTTCTTTAAACAAATTATTCAATTTACATAAATTTTTAAACATTAATTTTTACAAAATTAATTATTTAGACTTATTTTTTTGCTTGCCAATTCTTAATCAATTATTTCATCATTCAACTTTGCCGACTTTATTTATTAAAAATGAGAGGGAATATGTCGGAAAATTAGATAAAGTCATTTTAAGGGCATTTTTAATTTTGTTTGTAAAAATATTTCCTTTGAATTTAGCGCTCATTTAGTGTTAAAGATTACAGTCGGGCCTCGAATTTATATACCCCGTTGGAGCTGAAAGATCTTATGAGAGGTATGCAAAACCCCCTCCAGTTGACATCCATCTTCGCAAATTGAGGGCTAATGTAAGGGGTGTATAAATTTGAGGTCCGACAGTGTTGAAATATTTTTTTAATTTCAAGGCTGAACGAGGTCAAAAATTTTAAAAACGTGACGTATATGATTATTAACACAAATGTTTCAAAAATTATTCTTTTTAATTTTAATATTTATTTCATTACAACAAATTACAAAAAGTTTTGAATATAAAGATGTCATTAAAATTGTTGAAGTTACTAAAATGATTACGGATTTTAAATTAATGTGGAAATTACGTTCAGAATTATGCAAAATTAAAACAATGAATTCTCTTGTAATTAAACAATTTGTTAATATTAAAAAATTTAATGAATTTAAACAATTGTTAAATCACAAAATTGATGGCGAGGAAAATTTGGAAAGAAAGGGAAAATTGGAGGTAAAATGAATAAATATTTTTTATCTTGGGGGATTTGACAGAAATATCCTCGAGACTTTTAATAAATCTAATTACTTGAAGCACTCGGTGCTTTTCTCTTATAATAGACTAGAAGGAAGATTTGATTAGAAGGGAGATCTAAGAGACTGGAGGATTTGATTAATCCTGAATCTCTTCCTAAAAAGTCCAAATATATTCCCCTCCCAATATTCCTCTATATTCTGGGTATGGATTCATCATGGCTTTGGCACTATGAATTGGAGAATATGAATGAGAGCCGAACCTCTTTTCTTCAAAAAGTGATCTAATTAAAAGGCTCACTATGCGACGGTTTAAGCTTTATTAAAAAAGGAAGGTGAAAGATCACTTATAGAGCCCTTATCATTATTTAGAAAATCTCCCACAATTTATGTCTACCCGAAGATGACCATTTACTTCTCTCTTACTTCTCTAAATAAGACTTTATTTGTATTTATTTCCAGAAATTGAATTTGTCTTTAACAAAATTAAAAGAATTAAATTTCGAAAAAATGCTAGAAATGCGGACTTTATGTTCTGGATTTCCTTTATTTGCAATGTTTCTTGGTCGAAAACGAATGTCAATTTTAAAAAAATGTAAAAAAATAATTAAAAAAGTAGACAAATTATTTAATAAATTTAATTTAAAATTTGAATCGAATTTTGAAATTGGTGAAAATAATGAAATAATAATTAAAGAGGAAAATATTGAAGAGGGGGAAGACAATTTTAATAAAATTATAGAGAAACAATTAAATACTCCAAAAATTGGGAAATTTAGAAAATTTTATAAAAGAATTTACAATTTTTGTATTATTCTGTTTTGATGGATGGAAAATAAAATTAATTTTTTAATTAATAATTATAAACACATAGAATACTTTTCTCTGATAAAATATTTATTAAATTATGTACAAATTTTAAAATTATTTATAACATTAATTAATAACGTCCAGGCCGGTATTCGAGTTAATTTTTTGAGAATGTTTTTTCAGACTGTATATTTTTTGTTCTGAACCTAAACCTTAAAGAAGCACTCATCTTAATTAAAATTCTCATATTTGGATAATAATCGAACTAATGATTTCAGCTAGCTTGTAAAATTTTGTAAAGTTTGATAAGTTTTTGAATTTTCGGAGACATGAAAGAAGAGATAAGAAAAAAGACACACACATAATTTTGTCTTTTATTTTATTCTGTCGCAGGACGCAAAACGAATAAAGCATATCGTATATCCTTTAATAACTAATTATTATTTCGACCTTCCGCTGGAGGGGGTAAATAATCGAGGGAGGGTAATTATATGAGGTTTGAAATTTGATGTGGTTAATTATTGTTTCAATCTATCGATCGATGGAGTAATTAATGGAAGTGGGGTAATTATTTGATGGAGGGCAATTAATACAAGTTATACGGTAGCCTTATTTCATAACTTATACAAAATAAAAAAATGTTTTGATAAATGGAAATTGAAAGAAAAATAATTTTTTAATAACTCAATTAAGTTTTTTTCTCTGATTTTGCTAAATAACAAATTTTATATAAATTTTATCTTATTAATTGAATACTAGGATTCTTTCGGTAGCTCTTTCATGCAAAATTTCTAAAAAAATAGCCGATTCTTTGATAATTTGTTTGTTATGTAAACAATATTTCCTCAATAAACTAAATCTAAACAATAGTTTAGCTCCGTGAAAAACAATCCTGCAGCATTTTTAACATTGAGATACCTCCGGATCCGGGGTAGCGTTAGTCTCGTACATATCTCGTCAAATCTCGTGTTTTTAGAAATCTTGTATATCTCGTTCTTTTATTTTTTGAGAATCTCGTGTCTCGATTTGTGGCACTTGCGCCAACTCTGCTCCGAACATTAGACTCACAACCTAGCAAGTTCCTAGCACATATCCAAAGTTGAACAAATAAATTTTTATTTTTTATTTGATTTTATTAATTAAGGCGTTTTTCTCTTTAAATTCATAAACTTCCTCATTTTTCAAAATTTATCAGAATTTTGTTTTTCCCACATTATTCAAAAATTATATGAGTATTTCATGTCCGAGGGTTGTCCGATGTTGACGTGCGAATGAATAACAGTTTATCCAATGTTGAAATTAACAATGAAGGCGAAGGCATGGAAGAGCTGGACAGACGGCGGAGATCAGTGACTAGCCCAGCTAGTATGATCCCCCTGAGACAGATACTTTCATTGGCTTTTTTTTCTTCATCGAACACAAATAAATAAAATGTGAAACAATAAAATAAAACTCCTGGATCCACAGGGATCACATATGAAGAGGTTTATTACAATAGCGATACCACTACAATATTTGATTACCGATAATTTTATATTATTTAAATTAAATTATTTAAATTAAATCAATTTCTCGACGATTAAAGAGTATTGACGTCTGTTGATTAATCGTCGAGGCTATAAAAAAGGATAAACAGACAAGCATGCGCTTCTCACCTGAGTGTCTTTATCCCCCCTCCTCCTCCCGACTTTTATAAAATAATAAAAAATCGTATGAGAGCGAATAAAAATTTTTAAATAAAAACAACTTCATTAAAGACTAGCTAAACCCCCCCCCCCCCCACTAACAAGTCTGTAAACGAGAAATAATGTCTAAAATATTTTTCTTGTTGCTTCTAATTTCAATTTATTTTTTATTTAAACAAACTAAAGCAAAGGATGATTATAAAAAAATTGTTAGAGAACTGAAAAATTATCTGACACAGGAAGAATTGAATGAAAAATTAGCGGATAAGCTTCGTAGTGAATTAAATAATGTTAAAAAAAATGAATGAATTAGTTTTGAAATTTTTTGTTAATCATGAAAATTTTAAAATTATGAAGGAATTTTTAGATAAAAAATTGAAAGATAAAAAATATTCAAAGGATAAAGCTAAACTGGCGGTAATTCGGAATATTATTTTAAATTCTGGCCGTGAAAAATGTTTTTAAATCGGGGGGAAGATAACTCCGGGATTCCTTTTTACATACATAGAAAAGTTTAAAATATGACTAGCTAAACCCCCCCACTATACATAGAAAGTTTAAAATATTTTTCTTGAGGAATTTGAGATTAAATATTATGGATTTTATAAGGGTGATTCAGGTAAAAATCCATTTACCTAAAAGCAGCATTTAAAACGCTTTCTCTATTTTTAATTTTCAATAGGGTTGGATCCCGACCTAAAACGGGATCAAAATTTTGGGATCGGGGCTGGCCGAAATCGGGATCGGGATATATCTTTCGGTGTCGATCAGAAAAATCGGGATTCAAGAAAACCGGGATACCGTATTTTCTCGATTAATTCCCCATGCCAAGGAATGGTTGAAACAATAATTCCCCAGAGGATTTAATCAAGAAAATACGGTAATTCCTCCCGATCCTGACCACAATCCCGATCCCGGTCAACCTTAATTTTCAAGCTATTAAAAGAATCATTGACAAATTTGGAGAAACTAAATTTTGTAAGAATTCTTGAGCTTCGAAGTCTTTGTTCAGGAACTACTCTTTTCGATTTAAAAAAATTAAAAAAATGTTGTGAAACGTTTATCGACAAAATAGACAATTTTCTTGAGAAATTTGAGATAAAATTTAGTCCAGTTTTTGAAATGGATAATTCAAGCAACACTATTAAGGAAATTGAAAATAAAGCAAATATAGAAATGCTTGAAAAAATTTTGGAAAATCAATTGAGTTATAAAAATGTCGAAAATAATGAAAATGAGGATAAAGGAAAGGGAAAATTGTTTAGAGGAAAGGATAAAGAAAACAAAGGAAAGGGGATATTGTGCACGAATTTATTGTTTTGTGGTAGCTCAAGCTATGGTAAAGAAACGCCGTCTGATTAAAAATTGGAAAGTCAAAAGACTGTTGAAGCACTAAAACTGGAACTTATATGTAAGGATGGCGGTTCCTGAGAAATTTCCGGATATCCGGTATCGGAGCTTTTATTTTCAAAATTTTCGCATGCGGCGCTGAAAAGTTGAGTCCCATAGAAGGTTATAGCGAAATAATGGATTTGGGTATTAACAGAGTTATCGAGGGAATCTAGAATTAACAGAAATCTAGGTGGAATCAATGTGTGGAAACTTTTGAGTTTATCTGATAATTTATGAGAATTCAGTGGATTTAGGGAAAGTAGTAGATACTAGAGGCGATACTAGAGGAAAATATACTCTGTAGATACTAGAGGACTTTTGGTCTTCCTCGGCTTTTCTTTACCTCTTTTTATAAAAAAGAGTATAAAAATGGTATATAAGTATCCTACTGCCCTAGGCGAAAATTTTGAAAGATCCCTAAGCCAGGATTCTTCCTTTTCAAGCGCCGCAGGCGAAAGTTTTGAAAAGTTTAAAATGCCATTGGACAAGATTTTTTCCTTTTTCCATGTTCTAGGAAACGAACCGAAAATTTCGGATATCCGAGGTTTTTTCAGTTCTGGATACCCGGAACCGCCAACCTTATTTATATGGTTAAGGGTTTTTTGAATTTTGTAACTTTTTATACATATTTAAGTAGTTAGACCTTTTTTGGATTATCGGAAATTTATTTTTTATGTCGACTAGATCACTGGTAGATATTCATAAACTGTTTTTTCTTGTAATTTTACTTTTTCTTTGCAATGAAATTTTTCTTCTATTTTTTTCAAATATTGGATATGTTGGCATTTTGTTGATTATTATTCCATTTCGCATTTGTCGGCATTTGTAAAATTGACATTTTGTAGCCTTTATAGATAAAAGCGGTGACAGAGAAATAGCACACATACGAGAGAGAATTTTTACAGGCTATTTGTTTCGGTTAGACACGATTCCGTGCGCACGATTCCGTGCACACGTTTCCGTGCACACGATTCCGTGCATACGTTTCCGTGCAGGCACGTTTCCGTGCGGGCACGATTCCGTGCACACGTTTCCGTGCACACGATTCCGTGCATACGTTTCCGTGCAGGCACGTTTCCGTGCGGGCACGATTCCGTGCACACGTTTCCGTGTCTGTTATAAAAAACACGTTTCCGTGCCCAATTATTTAAATATTTTTATTTTTTTTAAATTTTTATAAAAAAATTTTAAAAGTTATATTTTTTATCAACTTATCAACTTTGCTTCAGTATTTTTCTTTTCAATTCAAAAAATTTACGCGGAAAAAAGTTTTTGCCGCTGCGGAGGAAGCCGGGCATGTCGAGCGGAACGACGGCCGCCGCTTCGCTACGGTCGCCGCGAGCGTAGCGAGCACGACCGCAGCGAAGCACGGCCATCGTGTAGCGAAGACCATGCCCGGCCTACCCTCCGTAGCAGCACAAAAACAGTTTTTCCAGCGAAGATTCTATTGGTCATAGGTTAGAAGCAGGGTTCTTCTAATTTTTTTAAAATTAAAAAAATTTTTTTGAGATTTTTTCCTCCATATCCATCAATATCCCCTTGTTGATGTCTCGATGTCATGAACAAGTCCCTTGATATTCACTGTACTCCTAAAAACCTTTTCTTATTGTTTATTATATTAAAAAGAAATTGAGCACGGAAACGTGTTTTTTATAACGGGCACGGAAACGTGTGCACGGAATCGTGTGCACGGAAACGTGTCTGCACGGAATCGTGTGCACGGAAACGTGTCTGCACGGAATCGTGTGCACGGAAACGTGTGCACGGAATCGTGTGCACTGAATCATACCCCACCGATTTGTTTGAGTGTGGGACAAATCACCGTATAATCAAAATACCGTTTGGACGCTAGAGTAAAAACACCGTCCACTTTTACAGATAATGAATTCGATTTTTATCGATATTATGTTATTTTAATATCTTTGGACTATACGGCTATTGGTCTTGATAACTTGAAAGTCTGAAAATTTTATTTTAAAAAATTTTCCTCCAGGCGAAATGAACGGGTATTTTATACTCTAGTGGGTAGACGGTATTTTGTCTGGATGGTGATTTGTCCTAACACGATTTTGCATTTTAATTTTTAACTTTTAATTTATTTGGGTATTTTAGTTTGCCCTTTACGTAGTTTTTTTTAAACTTTTTATTGTCTAGATAAATTTATTTTTGGAGTTTAAAAAAATTTCTCATTAAAATTATGGAAGAATCTTCTTTAATAACGTCTAATGACGATAAACAAAATCATTTGGTTGTAGAAAAATCCCCAAAGAAAAAGGAAAATGTTGTCCCAAGTTCTCACAATTCCTCAACCTCTTCAAGTGTTGCAGAAGAAACTCTTAGTCAAGTAAATCCGTCAATTTCGGATCCGACAACTGATTTAACGGAAGAGGATATTTTCCGAATGAAGAGTATGAGCATTGATAGAGATAAATGGAAAAATGGTTTTTTATTTTTTAATTTAAGAGGGGGGGGGGTGTCTAAATTTGCTTTTAGTTTACTAGACTTATTCTCCTATTCCTTGAAATGTGATTTTGAGGATTGAGATAGAATTCTAGAGATCGGCATTTTTGAAAGGCCTGGGCCTATTCTTAGACTCTGTGTTTGACTTATTATCTTGGGCAGGAGATTTATTGACCTCGGCCAGATTCAAGTGTCGCAGAAGACTTGAAGTCCAGGAAAAACCCCAGGAAGGTCTTAAAATGCCTGGGCCTGGATTCTGGGTACAGGAAAAGCCTAGGCCTTTGTTGTCATTTTTGAATGAATCATTGTCCAAATCCGGTATTTTGTAAATTTTCCCTTTCTCCATTTACTGGACTTAAAAATTTGAGCCCGGACCGAGACGAGATCTCGATCGAAAATTTCGGTTATCGAGAGCGAGAATTTTTCGAGATTTCGATTCTCGTACGACACTCCAAGTCCGGTCTCTATTCAAAATTATCCTTCATTCCATCACTAGGTCCAGCAGCAAGTGAATATCAATCAGCAATTTCCCTCGTTGATTCCGCCAGCAATTATATTGAAGAAGACCGCGAAGTTGACGAAGAAGAGGTTGATGTAACTGAAGGTTTGCTTCCTGATCAAATGGTGCCAGTACAGCGGTCAATGTCTTATGCTGATGCGGTTAAGAGAGCAACACATCATGAACAGTCGGGGAAGGTTTTTAGTTTAATTTGGAATTTTTTAGAGAATTTGTTTGGGGGTTTTTCGGGGGTTAGCTACTATACAAGAGCACGCCCAAAACGGCGCGCGGTGATAATAGCGTAAAGCTATAGCTTGCTTCAAGATTTATTAAGCTTAACAAATTTAGTATTAAATGATTCCTCGTCGAACTAAAGAGATTGATACCAAAATTGAGTACGCCCAGACATTTTTCAGCAAGTTATGGCTCTGCGCCTTTATGGCCACGCGCCGTTTTGTACCCACTATGCTTCGATTTCTTTGTTACCCCCAAACTTTTTCGCCCTTTTATTTTTGTTTTAGTTTTTCAAATTTTATTTATTGAGGTATTCCTCTTTGATGGGTATGCATTTTCCAAAAATACGGATCCTGCAATATTATCACATCTTAACAAAAAAACAGGTTTTTTTGTTGATTACACTTTAATTACTAATTTCTTTTCTTTTTTAGTCAGCACTCTTAAATACCCATTCGAGCCTGTCAATATGCCCCCTGATTTTGATCAAGAAGAATATCGACGTGCATTTTCTCAAGCACAGGTTTTTTTTTGTATTTTTTAAAGTTTGGTGGAGACTTGGGTAATATTGAAGTGTACAGACCCCATTTTTTCCTCACTATTTTTCCCCCTATATTTTTAAGAAATGGTCAGACTTTTCCTTCCTTCCATCCAATTTGCCTTTCTAATTTTTGCCTAAATCAAACAAAAAGGAATTTTTTGGTATTTAACAAGCATGAGTTTTGAGAAGACTCATTTTCTCTATTAAAACGGGAATAAAATATCAAAAAAATCCTTTTTGCTTGATTTAGGCAAAAATTAGAAAGGCAAATTGGATGGAAGGAAGGAAAAAGTCTGACCATTTCGTAAAAATATAGGGGGAAAAATAGTGAGGAAAAAATGGGGTCTGTACTATTCAATATTACCGAGACTTGGGGTTGCAGACATTTTTTATTTTATTTTTATCTATAGCTTTTCGAAATGGGGGCCAGGGCCAAAAAACCAGAAAACTATAATAAGTTTTCGACCATGCTCTACACGATGGTGCAAAAAATACATAATTTTCATTTCTTTTCTCTTTCCTTATTGATTCTTTCTATTTTTTAGATTCTTTTTCATCTGTGTCAGCTCAAAAATAAAAAATTTTAACAGCTTATATTTTAAACTATATTTCTTATAATTAATTTTCAAATTTTCATGAATAATTTAAAACCATTTTTAGGTTTATCTCGTGGGAACTGCACATTTTAGCAAAGAAAGTTGCGAAGATGTGTGTAAAACTGTGCAATTAACCCAACCAGATTATGTCATGGTTTTTTTGTTTTTTAATTTTAAAAATTTTTTAAAGGTTGAACTTTGCTCTTCCCGTATTCAAATACTCTCAATGGATGAGAAAACACTGTTGCAAGAAGCAGCGGCTTTAACTAAAAAGAAAATGTTGGAAATTGTTCGACAGGTTTAAGCTTTCGATTTTTTCTTTTTTTAAATTAATCTGTCTTTTCGACCTGCTACCTTGAATTTTTAAAGATTCCTTTTTGGAATTTCTAATATAAAGCCTATATCCCATGGATGTCCCAAACTTTTCGAAATATCAAGCCCGGATTTTTCTACCCGTTCCTTTGAAAATTTTGGGGAACATTTTAATTACCCGCCCCAAATATTTCACCGTGTGATTTAAGATTCGGAGAATATTTAAAATAGATAAGTTGCAATTTTGAACACACGATTCGAAATCTGACTCGACCTTTTTCTCTCGTATACCTCAGAATTCTTCGCCGGCAATTTTTCTCTTTTTTCATCTGATTAATCTTTTGGAGTATGACTAACCAAGCAGTCGTCCTTGGGGTTTTATTTTATGGGTACTTACTTCCTACTTTACCAACGAAGGTTGCGGATACACCAATCTTTAAATTATTCCTCCTGATTTTTAAATTAAAAAATTGTTTTTTTCCATTTAGCACGGAGCAGCTCAAGGTTTAATGCAAGTTTTGCTTCTCTCATTATCCGCCCATATTACCCAACAACTCGAAATGGCACCTGGCGGTGAATTCCGGGCAGCTTACAATGCTTCTAAACTTGTTAGTGGATGTCAACTTGTTTTGGGTGATCGTCCTTTGCATATTACCTTGAAAAGGGCTCTGAGTTCGCTGAACATTTTTCAGAAAATGAAATTCTTTTTCCATCTACTTGTATCGTTGCGAATGGATATAAAGTTTGTTTACATGAAAAAATTTATAATGTTTTTTACCAGAGCCATTTACCAGGGATTTGGCACAGAAAGGGGTCGAAAATTTTAGTTTTAGCGGCGAAGTTGAAAATTTTTGAATTTTGAAGTCTAATTGTGAGATGCCACATTTTTTCGTTTTTCAGTGCCAAAGACAAAAATTTTTAGTGCTGGAATAATTCTTTTTTTTCCTTAATCCCTTATCCAATTTTTTTTCTTTTTTCCATTTTGGGGGGGGGGGGGGGGATTCACCTCTGGTTAAGGCTCTGTTTTTTACATTCTCAATCATTTAAAATTCTTCGATTTATTTTTCGAGCTGTTTGTCCTTGAACAGAAAATTTTTTTTAATTGTTTTTGTTTGCTGGAAATCCCCGTCTCATTTTTCACTTTTGAATGAAAATTTCGTTTTTCGAAAAATCCTAATTTTTCCTTTTAAGAAGATCTCGGATTTTTAACATAAAATTTTACTTCAAATAAATTTTAGGCAAGAGGACGT